TTTCGAACTGGCTGCCGAGATAGGTCGATCTTCCACTCAGCCATCGATACGTACTTGAAATTATCGGCATTCACCAAAAGTAATAAACTGCCGACCAACGATACAGATTAACCATTTTATCACGTTTATCAGCAGTTTATCACTTAAAATTAATACCCTATTAATACAAATTTTTCCTTTAAACGAAGTAAAAATTACAATTTGAATTCATATGGATATATCGAGGCTTATATTTCAACCTGCTATAAGCGATTTTCACAAAAGGTCTGCATATAAGCCCTCTATTTGCAACTTTTCCCACTAGTCACAAAAGTTTAAATTTTTTAACATATTTAAAAAGATGTTTAACTGAAGTTTCTTTCTTTCCTAACTTTTACAAAGAAAGCGACAAAGAGAAAATTTGTATACAATGGCAACTTTTGAAATTCTCTTCTCCGCTAAAATTTTTCACAAGCCCATGGTCACTCTGAACCACATAAATTAATTAAATTTCAAAAAATTTTCATCAAAAAAATAGCGACCATTTTCACGAATTATTTTTTCGGCTTCGTGGTCAAAAGCGTTTGTGCTTACTTTTGTTTTTAAATACTCTTCAAAACTGTGATAAAACTGAGGAAATGGAGCAAGGTATGGTTCCAACGGGGAGCATATAGGATCAAATGTGTCCGCGCTAATAACCACTAGGGAGCATAGATGCGAAAGTAAAACATTGAGTTGAGTTGAGTTAAAAATCTTCATTGGTTCTGCATTATTGCTTTCGAACAACTTGTTTACTTTTTGCACCTGAAACTTAGGCAAATAGTAAAATCGGCTAAAAACGGCTAACTTTTTTTTACAAACCGGCTAACAAATCGGCTGCCGGCTAGATCGAATTTTCTCCGGCTAGTTGCTATCAAAACCGGCTAAATCTAGCCGGAAAACGGCTAAAACGGCAACGCTGTGCAGCACCCAGCTTGCAGTAATATAACTGCCTGAAACGTTGCTTCAGAATGCCAAATGTGTGCTCAATAGCTACTC